GGGCAGTGGACGAAAGATGGTGTGGAGTTTGAGAAGGCGTAAGAGGAGAATGGCTTTATCGAGGCAAGCTTGGGGGCCAAGCCAGGTGCCTCGACCCATACACGACTAACGACCGGCGAAGGCGCGCGGGCGGAAACACAGAAATAATCGTGGCATGTAAGAATATCAAGAAGAATCATAATGATACTACATTTCGAGCTTAAAGGCCGTAGCAATTTCAGCTAGTTTACTATGCAGTTCCTTATTCCTTTCTCTAATCCCCGGTCCAGTTCCCTTGCACGCCCGCCAGACAGCACAGGTGGCTGCCGTCTGGCGAGGATCTGACGTCAATATCAAACGAGGGCGAGGTGGACCCCGCGCCTCGCTCCTGCCTCCCCTCAAACCGTCTGATATAAACGCCCTTACGACTTGCCGCAGTCATCGAACCCGGACACTTAAAGATCGTGCGCTTTGGTGTAATGGTTAACCGTAGCCGTTGAGCCCTAATTTAACAGATTTGGGAGCACGGGTTCGATCCCCCGTATGGGGTGCGGAAAAAAAACTTCGGAGAAAACCATCTTAATATTAACGGATGATTTTCGCAACTGCCACACCCTGCGGGCGGTTTAATATAGGCTGGGCAGTGATCTTTTTTTTTTGAGCATGTCGAGGAGTCTTTTGTCACGCTTTTCCTTCATTTTGTTTGCTATTCAATCTTTTAGCCAGCCTTGGGTTGATTAACAGCAGGGCGATGGGTTATAATTTCTCCCATGCGTGTTTCCCTCCTCAGCATCCTCCTCCCAGATCATCCGCCCACATTGCCTCAGCACCTCCCAGGAGCTCAAGCTGCCCACGTTAAAACCCCCCGTGGTCTTCCTCGCCGACGATATCGCGATGCAGCCGGCGGAACCCGGGCGGCAGCTTCAGCCCAAAGTCGGCCCGTCTAGGCTATCCCCCGGATACCCTCAGATGTCTATAAACCTTGATCACCAAAACCGCAAGTTCGACACCACAGGCGCGCGTCGTCCACCTCGCTTTGTGGCAAAGTACGTCCGGAACAGGCTAGCGACGAACCCCATTACAAGGTGGGAGCACGCCGCCGGAAGGGGGCGGGTAGCGGGTAGCAGAAGCGCTCCGCGCGCAGCAGGGCGATGGGGACGCGTGGCCTCCCCATAGCGTCGGCGGCGCGGCCAGGACGGTCTGATACTCGCGGATGCCATCGTCGTTCTGCTGTAGCCTGCGCGCGCGAGCGCGTCCGCCGCCTTCTCCGGGTCCGGCACGGGGATGAACAGCGGCTGGTTCGGGGTTTGTCCCAAGGGCGGCCCGGGGGCCCATCTGCTGGCCGTATCCCAGGTCCCCATCCTTCGACCCGACCTCTTGGACGCTACCACCCTACGTGACGGATGCGGCAAGATGAACCGACTGTCCTGTCCGCCACCCAGCTCGCTTCTGCTTATAGCCAGCGAAAAATAAGCGGGATATTATTTACTCGGCGCTGCCATGAGTGATTGCCCTTCTATCCTACCCCAAGTATGCGTTTTGTTGACTCCCTTTTCGTACTTCCACAATCTAGCAACGATGGAGTGACCCCATCTCAGGCGCCACCAGGAACACACGCCCCCCAAGTGAGATGCTGTTGAATACAGAACCCTCCGCCCTAAACGCCGATCGTTCCTCAACCGAGGCCGACAATGCATTCCCGTTTTCCCACTACCCTCAATGCTTTGAAGCCAATATCATGTTTCCTGGTATCTTTGAGCACGTAAAACAGTATTAAAAAGGTGACAGAAGAGAAGAAGAAACCCGTAGAGAAACAGCGTAAAAGACACCAAACAATACAAGAAAGTCCTCCCCCTGCCCTTCACATGACGACGCACTCGCGCTCGGGCTCACTTCCGTTTGACTTCCGGTGATGGCCAAGGTGATGTTTTCTCTCCCTGCCCTCCTTATCAGGTCTTCCAATGTCTGATTTGTTCTTGTTCTTTTCCTTGCTTTCTTTCTTGCCCGAAGCGTCACCTGGCACAGCTGACAACGGTGGCGACGAGGACGGTGCAATGAGGGGCTGCTGCTCGACGTGCTGCGCCGAGCCGGCCTCGCCATCGTAAGCGTCTTGCACCGTACTGGCGGATGCCTGATCCAACGATACCGACTCTCGCAGCGGCTCTTTGCTCGTGCGCATCAGTCCGCCTAGTCGCGACATGGTTAGGCTCATCCGGCCCTCGCCTGCCTGACTCGCTGGCCGGCTGCACCGCTCCTTCTCCTTAGATGCTTCCTTGTCGCCTCTATCTTTCTTGGTGAACCGGGCTGCGGCTCTCGACAGCCGATGCGCCGTCGTGGGCTCCTCGTTAGCCGCCGCGGGGCCTGCAGGAGTCTGGGCTTCTGCTGGTGGGCGAGCGTTCAAGATGCTCGTGACCTCGGAAAATGGAACACTGCTACGCCGCGACGAGGTGGCACACATATTGGTGTCCAGAACACCTGTCTCCAACTCGTTGTCGAGGCTTAGCCGTACTGGCCTGTCAAGCTCCGACGAGAAGCGAACGCTCGGCCCTGTTGAGCTCCCCAACGGCGCTCCGTCGAAGTACCCACTGGTTTGCCTTGACATATCTGGCCGTTCGCTGTCTGTATTTGTGGTTGGCGAGTACGAAGCGGTCCCCGACGTGGTCGCTGTTATGTTGATAGTCGAGTCATTATATGATGGCGGTTCCGTTGACGTCGTCCCATCGACCGAGGCTGCCGTCACGTCCATCATGGGGACTATTTGATAAAAGAGCAGGTATGGCATCTCATCCTTGAGCGATTCCTTGATGTCATCCACATACGTCACCCGATCCTCGACCTGAAGATCGTCAAACATGACCCATTGGGCGTCTTCGTAGTCTGGGGGTGGGTCTTTGTCATGCCGCCGGTTGTCCGTCAGCAGCTTCGGTGCAACACGCGAGAATGCAACGTAGTGTCCACTGTGCAGGGATTCGCCACGGTGGCACACCACAGACTGGAGAACAAGCTTGTACTCGGCACTGAGTCCATTAGACTCCTCGACCTTCGCGTCATTCACAAGCATGAAGTGTGGTAGCCTCATGCTATCGGGTATGTCGATGAAGGTGTTCTGTCTCCTGGGCTGGCCAAGCTCCGTCATCATGTACCTCTTTAGGCAGATTCCAACGACTGGCCGGGTGTTGAGGTGCCTGGCAACGTCCGTGTCGTTTAGGGGCTCGTCCTTTCCAGTACTATGCCATGCTGTTCCGCGAGCGTTAGCACTGCGTGCAACTTTGCGAGAGACGTCAATCACTACTCACGAATAAGCCTGAAGAACTGCCACGCAGGTATTGTCACGGCTCTGACCACTGTAGAGCCCTGCCTCTTGACCTTTTGTAGGATGGTCGAGGCGTCAGCGCCCGTGGGCTTCCCTTCGGCATCCAAAACTACTCTCTGGATAATGCTTGTGGACCGGGCTCGGGGCGATGGCCGCGTCTCTGGTCGATCCCGGGTCGGGGTTGAAGAGGAAGACGCTGGGGAATCGATGTTGGTCCACCGCCGCTGCAGAGGTGTCAGGTTTTCGACCTTGTCGTGGGCTTCGTCGTGTTCTTCTTGACCGATATCCGTCACGACCCTGATCGTGTTCTTGGGCCCTAGCACGCTGGTGATGGGGCTGTCTGCCTGTCTGTCTGCTGATTTCTTGTCGTCTGGACTGTCGCGCAGGACATCCACTCGCGTGTTGAAATACTCCTCCAGACAATCCTCAAGCTTGACTCCTTTGCCCTCCGGGTCAGCCGGCACCGCCAGATTGAGTAGCCGCTCAAAGACAACTTTGTGGTCATCGGCATCTCCTTTACCCTGGTGGAAGAGGTCGACCTGCAGTGTAAGTAGAGGCAGTTGCAGCGTTTCTGTGATGAAAGCAAATGCCTCTGAGGTGTCTTGTTGCTCTAAAAGGCTCGCGTCACTCCAGCCACATGCAGCAAGGGCATTCTGGATATGCTCGGTCTGGAGAATCCGGGGTTAGCAAGATGCCAAGAAAGACAACTCTGTCACAACGGGGTACCGGCGGCTCTACAAACCATTTCGACTCCAATAAGCTTCCCGGACCGCAGCATATTTACCCACAGCCGCAGCAGGGCAGCCAGATTACGATGTGCCTCGTCGGGGTATTCACGGCGCATCAGCATACACTCGAAAGCCCCCATTTTCGCAAACATTGCGAACAGCAACGAGTCGAGGTAGCAAGTGACCGCGCCGCGGTTCTCAGCGCCCAGCATGTGCGTGTTGGCGTTGTATGGTAGCAAGACGCCTTCGAATGCCTCGGACTGCAGCTTCAAAAGCTCTTTGGCTTTGGCGATGTCGCCCCGGGAGTACGTCGAGGATAGCACGTAGCGTATCTGGTCGCGTGTCACACCCGACAACCCCTCTTCTTCGACCCATCGTACAAGTTCGTCGATCTAGTGATACGGTCAGAAAGGATACGTTCCAGCAACTAGTGGCAGTTCGGGCGTGTGCGAATAGGATTGTGCGGGGGTCGACCGCAGGAATTCGACACAAGCAATACGAGGGCGATTCGGCGCACTTTTTGATTTGACTCTTTTTCCTCATTCCCCAGGCCACGGTCTCGGAATATGGCAAAGAAGGCATCGGCGGCGAAAGGGCGCTATTTTTACGCCGACAGCAAGCGACAGAGGTCAGTCCATATCCTTGTCCCTCCGAGATAGCATGGCACGGCGCTGTACCTTGTGATGAGGGTCCGACGATTTGCTTCTTCGATGCGCGCCTCCGCTTCTGTCCCTATCGCGGAGCGTGAGGAACCGCTTGGGTAAGGTTGTTCTCATCATGGCTGCGGGCGCCGCATCGGATTGAATCGGGAGGAAGTTAAAGCGGGCGTGTTGCCGTGACGTTCAAGCCGAGGAGCGGTGTCGAGAGAGCGGCGCTGGCTGGTTCCCAGCGGCACCTGTGTGGCGGCGCTTGCGACGGATCTAGGGAGGACTTGGTGGCGACCACGGACAGCGACGCTGGGTGCTGGCTGGGTGCTGGCTGGCGCCTCGACTCGGAGGTTTGCGTTTTCCCTGCGGGATGCGACAACCGGCCGATCTGCGAGCCCCGGCGAGTTCCCAATGGCAGCCAAATGCAAACAAGAAGAGGCGCCAGACGTGTGACCAGCTGTGCGAGAAGATGATGTGGCCAATGACGCTTTCCCCAAACCTTGAAAGCAGCTTTGTTTTCTTGTTTTCTTCTAGGCCCCCGAGAACTCTCCTCCTAGGTTTTGGCTCAGCGAAATCTCTGAGGGAGCGAACGGCTGATTGATGCTTGTCGTCGGAGGGGCAGTTGGTGCGGGTGTGTTTGGCTCTCGCCACGGCCCCCTGGTCAAGGGACCTGGCCAGTCATCGATGCAGGGACCAGATTTCCCAGTGGACGAGATTAAGCTGCTGGCGCCACGCCGTGGAGGATGTGGAGCGTCGAGTTGAAGCCGGCTTTGGATTAGCGCTGTGCCCGGAGGCTGGGAGGCCAGTCGGTGGAAGAGTCCGTCGCTGTCGGCCTTTGATGTGGGTGCTGGATTCTGGTGGACAATGGAGGACGCTGCTGGCGCAAGCGTAGCTGCCCACGTTCCCGTGACGCCCCGCTGTGCTGGACCGTTTCCAGGCAGCCAAGCCAACAAAAAAAAAAAAAACACAAAATTGATGACGATGCCCGGCTGACGACGGTGGCCCGCACCAGGCAGAAGGATGAGCAAGAGACGACGTCCGCAGCGGAGGCGAAGATACGGGTGTGTTTTGTTTAGGCTCAATGCTCAGGGCCCGCGCATCTGGCAGAGGATGGATGATTTCGATCAATGGCAGCCCACTTGAGGTGGATGCCCGCACAGCTTGCGGGTGCGGTGCAGGGCTGGCTTGTTCCACGGTGGAGTGCTTCTGCGGCGGGTGGTGTGTGTGCGCCAGGGTCTTGGCGGGCCATGAGCGTCATTGGCGCACCGACCAGCAGTCGAGGAGGGGCTGCGGCCCCGCTTCTCTCCCGCCGCCATCTCTAAAATGGGCCAGACCTTCACCCATTTTTCTAGGCAGCGTCACCGGAAGACGGCCTTATCAGGCCAGCCAACAACCGCTACGCTTTTTGTTTCTGGCATGCGCGTCAATCTCGCAACAATGCCACCCCTCGGACTAATCGATCTTGTTACCCCGTAGCATCTGGCCGTCGCAAATACTCGGATGTCAACGTGACGACGTGACGTAAGATCCGATACCATCGGCTGTCGAGATGGGCTAGGGTGACACAGGCACGTGTTATTGGCGGCTCAGATACGACTTATTCTTAGAACCTAAAAGGCTGACCGAGAGCCTCTAGTATTTACAAGCGATACCCCATGATGCCAACTAGCGAAGTTGGCGCGGCGTATGTCTCCCACATGGCCGTGTCCGTAAATGCTGTAATCATCATCATCCAGAAAAGTTGGCGGTTAGCGGCTCTGCATCAGCGCTAGAACGAAAAGGCAGAAGGAGGAGAAGCAGAAAAGAAAGGACGGCACCGTCTCACCAGCCAGAACCTTTCATCCCGTGCTGCCACAAAAGAATCGCCCTTGCACGTTGTCCTAAATCTCCATCCGGTCGCTTTTTATACATGACCCCGCTCCCTGACCATATCTACAAAAGGCTCTGCCAGCCGAGATCTTTCCCAAAAATCTGCGCCATAGAACGTCAAACCGCCACCGACCCTTTACGCCTCGTCCCTCGCTGCACGTTCGATACTTCGAAGAATATCATACTGCCGACTTATCAAAATGTCCCCCAAACACAAACCCACACGAAAAAGCTAGTCCAGGATTGACAACACAGTCAAATCACCGTGGCACAGTAGCACCCGAATGTCTATGGCACCAGCACCTTCCCCGCGATCGCCCATCTGTCCAGCTTCTGGGCCAAGGTGCCGAGAATGATGGGTGCAGTAGACCCAAAAAGGATCCGAGTGTTCTGTGTTCGTGCAAGGGCCCGAGTCTGGAATCGTCAGTCGATGTTGCAGAAAAGCAAGAAGAGGCTGTCTATGATTCGTCAAAGGATGTGCAGATCGGGTAGCACCGCCGTTTTTGTTCCACGCGCAACGCAATCGGACAATAATAAAACAAGAGAGCAAGAAGCAGAAGAAGAGATATAAGAGTGAAAACCAAGCGCGTGCGTTTATAGGCAGGTTCCCGTTACACATTCTAGAGATCATTATTAGGGCCAAGGGACGGTCATCAACGCTGAGGAGCGGGGAAGAGCGGGGAGGATGTGGTTTTTGCGCAAAAGCCGCGCCGATTGTCAAGTTGGCTGCCGAGGCCATACGAGATTAGAACGGGATGTTGGGCGACTCCTGGGCGCCGGAGCCCATGGCCTCCTGCTGCTCCTGGAGCTCCTCGCCGCCAAGGTCCAGAGAGATGCTCACGCCGAGCTTGGAGTTGCCCTACGGAGATCAGCGCGTCAGCTATGCCCAGGTTGGAAAAGGGATCGGGCAACTCACAGTCGGGTGGTCAATCTCGGCAGCGACCGTCATCATAACGGGCCCGCCAACACGCTTCTCAACCAAGCAGCCCATCTTGCCCTTGGTGTCCACCTGGGCGCGCAACGTCGACATGCGGAAGTCGTACTTGACTCCAGCAGTCGTCACACCCTGAGTGGTAAGAGCCGTGGGCGCTCCAAACATGGCGGCTTCGGGATCGGCGGGGGCAACCGAGAGGGTCATGTCAATGCCCGCCTGCACCTTGTCCGAGATTTTTCTCCAAAAAGTGGTGTTGATCTGTCCTTGGCCCGAGAGCTGGCCCGTCGCAACCCAATCATCGGTTTTGTACTTGGCTACGTACGACATGACCGTCTCGGGAGGAGTGGACAGGCTGGCACGCTGCCAGACACCCTCGAGGCCCAGTGACAGCCTCTTGGTCAGGGACTGCATGTAACTGCCGACGTAGATGCCAGAGATGCCACCCTCGAGGAAGGAGGGGTTGAGGGCCTTGACCGAGGCCGAGAAGTCGCCGCCTGTGTAGTCGTTCTCGATCTGCACCATATCCTGGCCCCCGCCGCCTCCGAGCTGGAAGGACGACTTGGTAACAAAGGCGCTGGACCATCGCCAGTTAAAGCGCGTGCTGACCGCCATCTCATTGTCGACGCTCCCTTGCATAAAAACCTGTTGCGCGTTGTTGTTCAGCACCCGGAACGTCCAGCCCCGTCCATAGCCTTCCCATATCCCTCCAGCCTGTCCTCCGGGAGAGCGTCGGAGGGTCAAGACAGAGCGCGGCCGTACCTTACTTGAGCCGTACATGGCGGCAAACGTATAAGGGTTAATGCGCTCGCCAACGGCGAACTGGTGCGAGACTTGGAAAAGCGGGTTCAAGCTGAAGACCTTCGTCAGGTCTGCGCGCAGGCCGCTGAAGGAGTGGTTGTTGAGGAAGACATCGCGCTGGACCTCCTTGGCCAGGTTCTCGGTGGTGCCCGGGTTTGGCAGCCCCAGCTTTGCGCGGCGCTCCTGGAACGAGGCGTATAGGTCGGCCACGCCCGCCGTAAGCGGGTTACTGCGCACGAGGTCTAATGAGGAGGCGGAGGCCATCTTTGATACCGGGACAAAAGAAAGGGCCGCAAGGCTGGGCTCGGATGGGTGGGACAGCGCTGGCACGGGCCGACGGCGGGCGCAAAAGAGGGGGAAGAGATGGCGAAGACCAATCCGGTCAATGAAATCGTGGAATTCGGCCAGCCAGGTTATCGCATACGGGCGGGTGCAATGGATCGCGTGGGCTCAGATGGCTGGTCCTCGTGGCCCTCGGGGCGTGAATACGTGTGTCAAGGTTGGGGGAGCTCGACTCTGTGAGGGCCAAAAATTTCACCAGCACATTTGCCAAAGCTCCCGTGTCCCTGTTCCAATGGCAGCGCAGGCGCTGGTGGGAGTGGGTATTTTGCGCCAGCTAGTCCTGGCAAGAAGGCAAGGCGGGCTGACCCGGAAAAACCGTGGGCCATTGGCCGACGGACCAATCAAAACTTCTGAGGCCCAGCGCCGACTTCAAGGCCAGAGTGGGGCGTAGTGGGTTTAGGTGGACGAATCCTCTCCGGGTAGCCTAGATCAAAATCAAGCGCTCAGGTGGTTACATGAAAGTCATTTGTCTTGATGTGCAGGCTGGAAAGGCTGAATGCAGGGACGAGAAAAACATTGAAGTAAAGATGTGAAGCTATCGCACCAGCCAAAGTCTTCGTTCGATCTTGCCTCGGAGGTACCTACCTACCAGGTACTTACCTAGGCACCCTACCTAGGCACCTTACCTAGGTACCTATCTCGGTAGGTGCACCCCTGGTTGGTTGGTATTTCTATACCTTGTACGCACACCTACCGGGCTATCAGAAAACACCAATGCTGCCTTCATGCAAACCTGCCTGTTTCGCGGGTTTGGCGCATAGTTCTCACCACGGACAAAGGTTTGGGAGTAAGTTGCGTGCGTCATTGGTCAAGGTTCGACGCAGGGACGGTTTAAGTGCCTCAACCAAACCCCGTCAGCAGCCGCTTTTGCCGCGCGCGGATCCGGAGGCGGTCTGGTGAGGGGAATCTCCGAGCGAGTCAAAGTGGACGCTTTTCCCATAAAGTGTGACGCGGGTTTTTTTCTGCAAACCGCTCGATATCGCAACTCCGATCCATTGCTTGACTTTGCTCCTGCCTTCCATCTCCAGCCTCGGCTCCCGTCCCTTCGAGCAGTTCCCGACTCCCTAAGGCCGTATGCAGCCAGCCAGCCCAGCCCACTTTGGTACCTATAGGTAGCCCCACGCGGACTGACGTGCGTCACATCGCAGTCAACACCCACCCACGCCTGCCCGCTTATCTTAGGCCTGAGGACCCGGGCAGCGAGGCTGATCTCCATCCTCCTCCACCTAAAATCTCTCATCCGCAAAATAGCAGTATATAGCAGAGCCTCGCTGGCTCCATCCCTAGCAGCTGCCCGAGAAAAGGGGCTGCGACTTGGCAGCGTGCAGGGTCGGCACTTATACGTATACGCCGCTTGGAGTATTTTGGCCCCGCCAAGTCTTCGTTTGACGACCGACTTTTCCGCTGCGTGAATCCGACACGATGGATACTCTCCTGTGAGTGACCTGCTTCATCTCCTCGTCCGAATGTCGTGACCCTTGCCAAGTCACCTCCGCACTCCCTCCCGCTCCCCCAATTGGGACCCCATCGACCACTTTGCTGTCTACAACCCGCCGCACCTGGAATTCCAAAACCCACGCCCCCACAATCTAAACACCCAACAACAGCACAACGCTGGCTGCCGACCCGGGCACTCGAAATGCCACACAACAATGACCTAGAGCCTACCTCCAGCTCGGAGGAGGCCGTGGCCGCGGGGGATGATATCGCTGACGATGGCGACAGCACCGCCGAGATCGCGGCCAACGCGCCCCGGTACCGCCGCAAGAGCTCGACTTTCATCGATGGCATCCACGATGTGCCCGAAAAGGGAAGCCTGGCGCCTGCACAGCTCTACAGCACCATGTCCGGCCGGCTTTTCCATTCGGGCCGTATCGCCATCGTGATGGTCGGTCTTCCTGCCCGTGGCAAGACGTACGTCCTCTCCCTTCCCGCACCTCTCTTCCTACGGTTATATGGAGATTGCCACGAGACTGACGCGCGCAACAGCCATATCTGCGTGTCCATGGCCCGCTACCTATCATGGTAAGAAAAGTCTCAGATGCCCATCCAGCCCGCGTATTGCTCCGCGGGCCATCAGGATACAAATGGCTGACCGGTGCTACTGTTGCCGTCAAGGCTTGGAGTGAAGTCTCGGATCTTCCACCTGGGCGACTACCGGCGCGCCACCGTCGGCCCTGGCGGCTCCGTCCCGGAGGATTACTTCTTTCCCAACGCCAGCCCGAGGTCAGTCCTTCTTCGGCAAAAGATCCTCAAAAAGTGCAGAGATGACATCTACTCGTGGCTCAACCACGAAAACGGCCAAGTTGCAATCTATGATGCCGTCAACCCTACCTCGAGTGGCCGACGGTCGCTCGCGAAGGAGTTTGCTGGGCGTGATATCCAGGTAAGGCGGGCCGCGAAGTGATCCTCGTCTTTGTTTCCCTCCTCTTCCTCTTTGGAGCACTACCCCAGTACGTTAAAGCTCAATTCTAACTCTTACCGTACAGACGCTATTTCTGGAGTCCTTTGTTGATGATGAGCGAATTTTGACGGAGAATGCGCGGAACGTCAAAATCTCATCTCCTGATGTGAGTCTACTCGCTCCCTAATATGCTGGGTGAAACGTACTGACCCAAGTCTTGCAAAGTTCGCGGGGATGGACCCTGACGAGGCCGCCCGCTCTTACCTGCGGCGGATCGACATGAAGATCCCCGTGTTCGAAACGATGCAGGAAACTGAGCTCAACTACGTGCGGATGATCAACGCGGGCCGCAAATTCTTCTACAACAATGTGTCCTTTAACTACCTCGCGCACCGCATCGTCTTCTACCTAACCAATCTGCACATCAAGTCCCGCACCACCTTCTTCGTCCGGGCTGGGACGGGGAGCGAAGAGGACTCGTCCAAGAACGACTGCCCGCTTTCAGAGGAAGGGGTCGCGTTCGCGACAAAGATGACCGAGGTCCTCATCCAGCACCGCGAGCAAGAGCACGAGCAGCTCGTGACTCGCGACGGAGGCAAGCCCTCGCCCATGCGGCCTCTCACAATCTGGACGTCGACGCGGCTACGCACCATACAGACGGCCCAGTTCCTCGAGGCGAAGGGGTACTCGGTCAGACAGCGCTCGCAGATGCGCCAGATCAACCCGGGCGTGTGTGAGAAGATGTCGGCGCGTGCCATCCGCGCCTTGTACCCGGACGAGGTCATCAAGCACGATCAGGATCCCTACCACCACCGGTACCCTCGCGCCGAGGTCAGTTCTTGTCCTCTTTCCTCCCGCATTCCTTCTTCCTCCCTCTAACGTAATCCCAGTCGTACCACGACCTCGCCGTCCGGCTCGAGCCTATCATTCTGGAGCTGGAGCGCGAGCAAAACGACCTGCTCATCATCGCGCACGAGTCGGTGCTGAGGGTGCTGTACGGTTACCAGATGCACTGCAGCGCCATGGAGATCCCGACGCTCAAGTTCCCGCGCGACGAGATCATCGAGATCATACCCGCGGCCTATCAGAACGAGGCCAAGCGGATCCACATCCCCGGGCTGGACCCGCGCATCGTGCCCGGGAGCCCCGAGGACATACGCCTGGCCCAGCACTACGGCACCGGCGGCAGCGTACCCGGCAGCGGGGCCCTGACGCCCATCGGCGCCCTCTCTCTGCCGCCGCCCGAGCTGGACGCCGAGGAGCAACAACAGCTGCCGCAGCCCGAGTTCGACACACGCGGCCGCGGCGCGGCCGGCCAGCAGTCCTCCGTGCTGGCCGAGGCGTCTCCGCCTGGTTCGTCGCCCGTCCAGCGCCCGCCGGCCAAGGTGCTCAATACGTCTGCGGACGCCGTCAAGGACAAGCTTGCGGACGAGGACTGAGGAAGGGTCGCGGTTTTTGCTGTAGGGGGATGGTGAGGCGGCCCCATCTTGGGCACACTTACCTTATCTCTCTTTTTTGTCTCTCCTTGCTACGACATGACAAACAAGGTAGATAGAAACGCGTTGCTCTTGTTTTGTTTTTTTGTTACTTGGACCCCATGCCTGTCATGCGGGATGCATGGACACGACTCCCGTCGCCGTTGGTCAACCGCCGTTGGGCTGGGTCATGACAGTTTTCCATGCCCCTCTCTGGGCATGGAGGCTACCCGACCATGGGATCGAATAGATTAGGTAGTATCGATGAATCCATGTTTATGACTGTGACCACCAAATAAAGCCCTGCTCGCAAAGACGGGGCTCAGTCTGTCAACCTTTATTTTATTTTATTTTTTTACGCACCATCAGGGTGTCATCATAGTAAGCCGACGACCTCGCCGATTTTCGGCAAGTCGTGAATGATTCAGCGTCCACAGTAATCAGTCCACAGGGGTTCTCGCCGTCGCGGTGTGGTGGGTCCCGCCTTAGCTGGACCCCCTGGATTGCAACCCTTTGGGGAATGGGCTCAGATGGCCTGGCCTGACCGGGACACGGGCTGGGAGGGCGTGATGACAGGGACGGGGCATGATGATGACGACATTTCGGCTGCCAGCCCCGAAGAGAGGGATTCCGTAGGGGTTGGTTTGTCTTGTGCCGGCAGTCGATTTTTGTCTGTTTATCCATTCCTCGGTCCTCGCTGTCGCCCACTTTCAGCTTGGTGGTTTCTAGGATTTCGTGGCGCCTCCTGAGTCAAGCTCGGCGCCAATAAAAAGTGCAGGCCCAAAGAGGCAGTATCGGCAGGAGATTCCAGGCTCTGACTGGATAACGAATCGATGGAGGTTCTGGGCCTTTGATGCCCATCTGTGCACCGTCAAATGGATGATCTTTTTTTCTTCTTTTTTCCTATCTTTCCTTCATTTTTCTGCATGCGCCCGAGCCCCGACGCGCGAGGCCATGCCATATTGGCTCAGCACCGCGAACAGTTAGCCATGATCAGCCCAAAGCGCTCAGCGCCATCACCGCCAACAAAAAAGCCGTGGCCCAAGTGCGCCCTCCCTGCTGCATCCGTCTCCACACACAAGTGTGTGCGTGATGTGGTGGGTGGCGGCAACCGAATCAGCCACGGTCCGTGCTAAAACTGGGGGCTACTGCCCCTCGCCGGCACGTCAGACCCCCAAACTCCGACATCAGGCGCTTCGACTTCGGGATTCCCGTGCTCCCTTCTCATTTTCCTGCTCCCTTTTCGCGCCTAGAATTCGACCAGCGTGAAGAAGCACCAGATAAGTTTTCCTAGACTAAAACCGGTCGGTGCATTGTTTTTCTTTTCTTCTTCTCTTCTTCTTCCGTGTCTTCTCGCGCATCGCCCTCATCCCATTTCCGCTTTTCATTTCCTAAAGTTGTGCATATATTCCTCGCTTGTTCCAATCTCCGTCTCCGTTTGGCCTTCCTCGTCCTGCTTGATTTTTCGTTTCCTTTTTTGCCGCCCTTCCCCAGTCAGGCAGCCCAGGTTTTTCGGTTTGCCTGCACCTACTATTGATCTCGTCCAAGGCACCTTCCTGGCTCTTGTGTAACACTTTGGCCCGTTCCTGCCTCCAATTTCCAACCACGACAGCCCACACTTTCGAGGCAGACCTGAACCGTCCTACGCCATCTGCCCGACCACTCCGCTGCCCGCCCATTTCCACTACAGCCCTCTTCCAGCGGCCCCGACACCACACCCCACGACCGCCGACGCAGCCAGCTGCACTTCTCGTACAGTGTCCCACCTCTATCGGCCAGCCCAGCGAGGCCGAACCCTACTGCCGCAACCCCGCCCCGACCTGGGACGGCAGAGCACACCGCCCTCACCCGAGCGAGACGACGAGACACACTCCCATACCAGCAGCAATGAGTCGACCCGGGGCCGGCGCGAGGCAGCGCCTCATGACGGAGCTGGCGAGCCTGCAGAAGGAGAAGTGGGTGAACTTTGAGGACGACACATCGAACCTGTTCAGGTGGCGCTTTGCTCTGATGGTTATCAACCCAGACTCGGCCTTCAATGGCGGATATTTCAGGGTAAGTCGACTGTGGGCTCCAAACCGAATGTTGCGGTTCGTGCCTCGGTCGCGAACGTTGACTGACCAAAGCCGGCGTGCGTTCCCGCTCGACTCGACAGGCTGAAATGTCCTTCACCGAAGACTACCCGTACTCGCCGCCCAAGTTCAAGTTCCTGATACCAATCTACCACCCAAACATCTACCCCGACGGCCAGCTGTGCATCTCGATCTTGCACAAGCCCGGCGAGGACCTCATGTCGGGCGAGGAGGCGAGCGAGCGCTGGTCCCCGCTGCAGGGCGTCGAGTCGGTCCTCCGCTCGGTCCTGCTGCTGCTCGACGACCCCGAGATCAACTCGCCCGCCAACGTGGACGCGAGCGTCCTCTTCCGCGACAAGCGCGACGCCTACAACCAGCGCGCCCGCGACACGGTCGAGCGGTCCAAGAACCACGTCCCGGCCGGCTTCGTCATGCCGACGAGCTTCGAGGCCGCCCCGCCGCCCAAGGTCGAGGACGACGACGCCTTTTGGGCCCAGAGCGACGAGGACGACTTTGACTTTGGCGGCAGCGACACGGACGACGACGCCGAGGCCGAGTTCGAGGATGGCGAGGGCGAGGGCGAGGAGGATGATGAAGAGGAGGACGACGAGGACCGGGCCGACCGGCAACGCAAATCTGGTGACAGATGAGCGGCGTCGTCGCCTCGCAAGAACCTCATCTGTGGACCAACTAATACAGGGGCTGGTCGGGGCGAATCTCACGCATTGGAACAACTAACACGCTTTGTTCTTGTGTTCACCGCACCTATTACGCGCCGCTCTCAGCAAATCCGGTTTCGCTTTCCCTGATTTCCTAACTCTCAGAAACCCAAGTCAGCTTTGTTTTATGAACCCTACTTATTCCTTCGTACATGGTATGGCGTCATCCAAGATTCAGCACGAGCCAGTCGATGACAGAGAAACACGGCGTTGTGGGAGGTCGACATATATTGGGACGGGTTTTCTGCCTTCTCAGCCTCATGCCTTGCGTCTATTTTCCTGACCAATATATCCCATTTCTCCCTTCCAACGTCTGATGCATGCCTCCTCCAGCTCCATGGCACAAACCTGTGACGTTGACTCCCGCAAGCCCCATGATCTGATCCGGCATCACACCCCGTCCCCTCATCCAGACTACCGTCCACTGATGCCAACGGCGGTAAATTTGGCAGGAGTTGAGAAGGCAATTGAAAAGTAACCCCGAGGTTTGTTTGCGGGCCTCCATTTGAGCGAAGGGAGGAGCGCACGCCACCTGTTGCCTCATCGCCTGCGTGAAGCGACGGTTCCGTGCTGCTTGTGCCGTGATGTGTGCTGCGCTGCCATATTTCTGGGTTTCTTTCTTTTTTTTTCCCCTTTTGTCTTGTCTGCCCCCGGCAAGCCCGCGACATGCCTTGGCGCTAGGACGAGACTGGCAGAAGCGCAACGACCCGTCCGGGCGGCTGTGTTTATTGGCGGCGGAGCTTCCCATTTGACGAGCGAACCCACATGGCCGGGCCCAGGGACCGCAGCTCCATGGTTGGATGGCATACAGACGGCAGCGTGGAAGGAAGCACTCAAATACAATCGCGGCGTGTCTCCGCGTTCCCGGTTTCTCTCTACAAGCTTTGTGCACCGAGTTGTCTAGATAGTCCTTGGCACCATGTACCTTTGCTCACGACATCCAGCCCCTAAATCCACCAACGGACGCCCAAGGAAAACGAGTGAGTACGCATCCATGGGGGATAGGATGACGGCAAATAACCAGAAAAGACGATCCCAATCCAACGTGTATCGTGTGAATGCAGCAAACCGCTACGTATAGAATGGGGTATCTTAGCTACACGAACATGCCACGCCTGCTATGATGTACATTTTGACCAGATGAATCTACCTCTACTTCGCCCCATCGACTGGGGGCGTCCGCGGCCGCTCGACCGGCTCCTTGGCGGCCTCGGACCGCTGGGTCGAGGGTGTGTGGATGTCGGTTGTGTTGGTACTGCTGCCAGGGGTCAGGGTTGTGTCGACCAGCTGTATCTCCGTCATCTCGACCCCCTCGTCCACATACTCTAGCGAGGCGTCGTTGCTAAGACTGTTGCCGCTGCCGCTGCCGCTGCCGTTGCTGTTTGGGAATATCTCGGTGCTCGTCGTCCTCGCGCCACTGGCCGGCTGCGATTCCGCCGACGGCGGCTCGTCGAAAGAGACCAGGGGTGGTGGCTGCTGCTGCTCCTGTCGCTCCGGCTGTTGCACCATCTGGTGGAGCTCCTGTGCCGAAGAACGCGCCGGCAACGCAGGCTTGGACGTTCTTGAAGCGCGGACATCCTCAGGCGTCTGCTCGATCAGCTCTTGTTTGAAGTAGCGGTTGTCGAACTTGATAAAGGTCCGAAGGGCCGCCGAGAGCGGTGTTGGAGCCTCATCCATCGCCGCGTCGTTGGCATACACCAGGTACGGCGCCTTGCCCTCCGTGGACGCGGCCTGCCTAGCTTCCTCCGCCGTAGACATCTGAAAATGGTGGAGACGGTTAGCCGACCAATGTCACCCTGCCATCATTTATAAGGCATCCCTGAAGAGCGACACCGTGTCGTCATCAGAATAGGCGACCAGGAATGCCAAAGACTTACAGAGATCCTGAGCGGGTTTTCCTCGTCAGTCGCAACATACGAGAGCCGCCACCATTGGTCCGAGGGTCGAGACTCGTTTTCCATGTCGATCAGATCCGGCTCCGACCGACGCGCGACGTATGTATCGTTCGATGTGACCACCCCCCTGAGATTGTATCGGTGCGTAGGCTTCCATCCCTCCTCCGGGCAGGGGATGCTGTTTTTGAGTGTGCGTGCACGGATCTCGGCCTCGATTTCGCCCCTCAGCTTCGTGTAGTCTAATCCACAGATTGTGTCAGGACAGTCCAAACGCGGTGTTCAAGATCTCCTTACCCTCTTTCTTCTTTGCGATCGTCTCGGTGAGGCCTTCGTGGAGCTTCTTATCCCGCTCCCACTGCTCGAGCAGCGCCAGCTCCGTGTCGGTGAATTTGATCTTGCCGTCCATGTAGCCGGGTATGAAGTGGAAGTATTCGGGGGTGTCGACCAGCTCAAACCACCTGCGCCTGAGGGCGGTGAATCGAAGGTCCTTCTCCTTGGCAACGCGGTCCTCGATGACGCCCCTGCTTATCGAGGTCTTGTCCTTCCATTGCTCATCCTTCCGGCTCCACCACTTTGTGAGATCAAACTCGAGGCGGTCCACCTCGGTGAGCCTGCGGCGCAGCGATCGGATCTCGAGCTGCTGCTCCAACGATTCGTCACACCTCTCCGCAAGGTAGCGATCGATGTAGAAGGTCTCGGGGATGTCGAGCGGGCGGACCAGACCACCCTCGCCGCCAAATGTCATGGTCAGCACATCACCTATCTCGGTGATTGCTGCGGTTCGAAGGCTCGATTCATCTTCACTGAGGCTGTTGACGTCGATCCAATAAAGCTCGTCCCAGGCGTCGTATAGCGTCTCGATTTTCTGGTACTGCCCGGCATTGAGGCGCATTTCCAGAACGGCAAACCTGTCAGGTTCATCGTCGATAGCGGACCCTGAGGAGCTGAAAGAAAATATACGGACTCCCCAGAAGAGGCGCGAGATTGTGTCTTGACTGTGGTGCTCCTTCAGTGTATTGAAGAATTTTGTCTCAGGCACAGCATCGGAGCCCCAGTCATCCTTCAAGACCCTCAGGCTCGCCAACACGTCCGCCGTACCGTAGCTCCTCTCGGTGAGGTCTAGGAATGCTACCAACCGGTGGATTTCCTCGCAAAAGTCGGGCTCTGGAGTGTACTCCCATTCCATCAGGTCCTCCTCCTGTTGGACCGGCGGCTCCTCCTGGGTCTTGGGCAGGATGGGCTCGCCTTTCCACCAGAGGTTATTGGTGCCGTACGTCGTGGCAGGCGGCCCCGTTTCGAGCAGCAAGTTCCGGATCGCAGGTATCTCGTGGTATATGGTGATGAGGGCACCCAGTCGCTGCTGGTCGGTTCCGTCCTTCCGACACCTCAGAAAAGCGGGGACTCCCGGATCTCGCTTCCTAACCGATGGTCTGGGGTCGGGCCTTTCGCGTGCAACAGGCACAACCGCCCACTGGCTCTGGTCGTAGTGGTCTCGAACCGCGGGACCAAAGAAGGGGAGGTGGACGTCATCGCCCTGGGCACCTGTCACGCCAGTTTCCTGGGGCGGTACCTGTAGCCCTGAGTGTGCGGCGGACTCGGCTAGCGCCCGCTGGAGATCTGCCTCCTCCTGCGCTCTCGAGCTAGGTACACCTAGGGAGCAACGGACCGAGAGTCAGCACATTTGCAAACCGACCTGGCGTGAGGGATGGGTGTATAAACCTGATGTTCCATTAGCGGTCCAGTCTACCATCCTGCCGAGCGGCGAGCGGTTATCGGTGCGCGATGGAGGGCGCGATGGAGGGACGCTGGCCGAGGGCGGCACACCGTGTATGATGCCGCCATCGTCGGCGCCCTGGATGGAGAATGTGGGGATGCCCGCGGCATCGGGGAGAGTTCCGTCGCGATCGGCTAGGAAGGGCAGCTCAGTCCACGTGTACTGTTGTCGGAACTAAGCAGCAGGGGAGGTAGTTGGGCGGCGTTAGTTGGATCACGAAAGGCGGATGTGGAAATTGTGAAGCAAAAGATTGAGGCTGTGGCACGCTCCATCCAGGATATCGAGGCGGGGGTGGGGGCTCAAGGATGCCGCGACGGAGCTGGACTCATGGGCATGGGCGTCGCATACCTTGCCCTCATCTTCGTAGAACTCTGCGACAACGGCTTCGGTGCTGTTGCCCTTGGCCTTGAGAGGGGAGCCAAGAAAGAGTGTCAGCGTCAACTGCAAACGTTGGCGGATGTGGCTGCTTCAACAGCGGGCGACGGTAACGGCACACGAACCCTTAAAGCCGAGAGGATCAGGTCTCTGTCGAGCTCTTTCCTGAGCCCTGTGAAGTCACAGACTGTGTCGACCAGAGCCTCCTCGGACATTTTGGCGGCGGTGCGACTAGAGCGCAGGAGGGCCTCGTCCGTGGTCGCGATGCTGGAGAAGGGCGGGCGGTTTACGACTGTGAGTGCGACCACCTGCAATCCGCTGCGCAAGCTCGATTTCGTCACCCAAATGGCCCCGCATTACCGGGCGCGAGAGCATGGGGGTATTGGTTTAGGGATGCACCTTCCTCGTTTTGGGTTTCCCCACCACAGGTATGCAACCTTTTGGATGTACTATGTATCACAAACAACCCAACACGCCTCCAGCTGTACACACCGTTTGGATAGGAACCTATGGGTGGAAGAAAGTTCAACCCTGTAAACGGTAGCACTAGGCGGCAGGCGGCAGTAGCTAGGCGAGGAACGGAACGTAAGGCTTGCGGCATGGGTTTAAGTGTTGCCAAATCAAAACATTCAAGTCCTTGGTAGTCACATTTCCGGCAGGACGCGATGCAAAAGTCATAAGAAAAAAGCCAGATCTCTGGAGCATTAAGAATCTCGGGGGCATCTATGTTAGAACGTCACAAGTAATGAATGATGCGTTTGTAATACTCATGGGATAGCTTTATTACCATAGAGGGGTACACATCTTCACTTGGGAACATCATTATCCGCGCATATGTATTCGTATAAGTGTTTGTAAACTACGACTTCGAATACAACAATCCCCATATGTAATTTTCGTCCGTGAACTGTTAGGCGGACTTGCTCCTTCCCATGTATATAGTACAAGGAGACTCCTTATTGATAGCACCTGCCCGTAGGTTGTGACGGTAATCAGGAGCTTACAGTCACACACACTGTACAATACACTGCCCCCGCGCTCGCCAACAGCGACGAGCTGCTGCGTCATTGTAGGCTTGGGCTCCAGCTCCTCTCAGCGAACTCCAAAAAGAAAACACCATCACCAATCCCAAGGCCTCAAACGCCAGCTTCCGCCAGCATGTCTGACAAGCGCGTGCTAATCACGGGGGCCACCGGCCTCCTCGGCAGGGAGGTTGTCAGGGCCTTCCAGGACAAAAAGGGCTGGGCCGTGACGGGCGCCGCCTTCTCGCGTGCCGACGGCGTGTCCATTCTCAAGGTCGACCTGGGGAATGTGGTAGAGATCGAGAAGGCTCTGGACAAGATCCGGTGAGTGCGCCGCTGAGATACCCACGCGGGGCTGTGCCTGAGAGGTGTCCCCCACAGGCCCAGACTGGACCCTCACGCATGATTATAGTGTCTTGTTTGGGATACTAACTCGTGGCTTTCGGCCGGAGCTAGGCCACAGGTTGTCGTGCATTGTGAGTTTCCCTCGGGGTCTGCTGGAGACAAATGTCCCTGCGAGGCCAACCCAAGACATGAGAGCAATGCAGATAGGTCTAATTGCAGCGATACCTTGTCCGGTGTGAGTGGCGAACAGGATTGACAAATAACCATAGGTGCTGCCAACCGTTTCCCCGACAAGGTGGACAAGGACCCGGAGGGAACGCGCCGGCTCAACGTGGCCGCGACGGGGACCCTTGCGCGGCTCTGCGCGGCTACTGGTGCCGTCCTGATCTATATCTCGACGGATTACGTCTTTTCTGGTCGGCCTGGTGAGGCCCCCTACGCTGCCGACGCCGAGACCGGACCCACCAACCTGTACGGCCAGACCAAGCTCGACGGAGAGCGCGCTGTCCTCGAGGCATACGGCGGCGGCGGCAAGGGCAAGGCGAGGGGCGTGGTGCTCCGCGTCCCCGTGCTGTACGGCCACGCTGAGACGCCAGCCGAGAGCGCCGTCAACGTGCTCATGGACGTCCTCTGGCAGGCGCAGGGCGACGAGGCCAAAGCCGTCAAGATGGACCACTGGGCGCTACGCTATCCCACCAATACGGAGGACGTGGGCAGGGTCTGTGCTGGTATGCCTCTCTTTCGCTTGTGTGTTCGTTTCGTCCTGGTCCCTTGTTTTGCTTCCATGCCCGGCAGATCGCTCTCTGGAATGCGCCCGCATTTGCCATTGTCCCCCACCGTCTGGATCGCTCGGTCTAGATCTGCATCTGCCTCAGGCATGATGCGCATGTCGATCGCAGCTCGGGCGCGTCTCTGGCGCGTCTCCTGCCATCCCTTCTCCGCGCCATGCTGCCGAAACGGACCTATTTGCAGATTGTTCCCCAAGCGGGCATGAGCCAAGCAAATATTGAGATTTGAGCTCGATGGCGGAGGCAGGTGTTAACGTGTAGTCTCCACCCCCGCGCCGCATGAGCCAACAGACGTGGCGGAGAAGTATCTTGACACGGACGATTCGGCCACCTTGCCGAAGCTGCTGCAGTTCTCGAGTGAGGATAAGCTCACAAAGTATGAGATCTGTCAACTGTTCGGCGAGATCATGGGCCTCAGCAGCGACAAGATCGAGCCAACCACGGAGGGCAACGACCCATCGGCAACGGTGCAGCGACCGTACGACTGCCATCTCGGCACCAGGGAGCTCAGAGATCTGGGAATCGACGTTTCAACGCAGGACTTCTCGGCATGGTGGAGGCGCGAAGTCAGGGCCTTCCGGAAGTGAAAAAAGGGGCGGCAACGGGGCTGCTGCTCCGTGGGATGGTTGGCTAGCATGTTGGCTGTTATCCGTTAGAGGCGAGAGGGCGGGACGATCCACTCGCAATCTGAGGAGTGAATGCGACTATGGCCATGGGCGGGCGCTGGGCGCCGGGTTGTACAAGAGATGCACAAACAAGACAGCATGCAGGTTGTAAAGAATAACGATCGCCGACGTCTGCCGTTCCTCGAGGGAGCAGGGGCCGCTGGCATGCCCGCCCACCCGCCCACGGCCAACCGCGATGTTACCGTCGATCGGCCGTGCAGCCACTCGATTAGATTCCCACGGACGTCCTTTTCGGCCCTTCCCCGCCCGTCGGGCGCATGGTTTGCTTTTCACGTTGCCAGATCCCATCCAGTTCAAGTCATGGCGACCACCCAACGACTGGATGATGTGACGGTCAGGGTTATCTTCAGGGACGGCGTTTGTGCACAAGGAAAGGCGGGTGACATAGCGGGAAGCATGACTACGTGACTTAGAACCAAGCACCGAGGCCAGTTAATGGCAGGGGGTTTTCGATATTGGCTAGACCGCAGTGGGTCTGGGCCTTGTCACCTTCCATAACTTCACTGTGGGTGAGCATCAATATTTCCATGTTTATGGATCATCGACCTCGCTGTGGGGTGGGATCATCAGACTAGATGGCGTGGCTTGCTACGCTTGCCGTAGGTCAGAGTCTTGTTGGCGTAATCATCTACTTTTGACGATTCTTTCCATAATCGATTTGCTGCATCTTCTCATCACCTTTTCCTTCCCATCATAGCACCACTGTATAGTATTTTCCCTTAACCTTGCGTCTGGCTTCATTTCCCATTTGCCCATTTGCCCATTCAGTGAGCTTTATCCAAGGTCGGAAACATCTCGTCTCATCCCACGACCAGAGGTTGGTTGCATTTGCGATGGGTCCTGTGTGTGCTAACTTCCAATGCCAAGGTTGGGGAATGACAGGCGGGACAATAGGATGGACAACAATAGACAGGGACCCGCCCCTGTGCACTGTGCTGTGCAAGGCACTAGTCACAGTGGACAGCATGTGAACAAGCATGTGAACATGATGCCGTCGCGGCTTGCTGTGTGCTCTTGGACGCCAACGACAAGACATGATACGAATTGGGCGGTTGACCAAACCCTGGAATGCGGCGACGTGGCGCCCAGGGCCGCGGGTGGACCTGCTGCTGGCCGTCCTGCCTGTCGTCGTGGCCGTTACCGGCTAACGCGTCTTTATTAGCAGTTGAGTGCTTGAGTTTAAGGCGGGCACAGTGCAGCCGACCTGTCAATGGTATGTGGTCGAGGGTCATAGACGACGCAGGAGCAGGGCTAGGCTGCATGGGCACATGGGAAGGAACCCTCTTTGGGCGGCTGGGGCCTTTCCTAGTAGCACGGCTGGCTTCTCGCTTGCACAGCACACAACACACAGCACGCAGCACAAGTGCTCGATGTAGCATGAAGGCCAAAAATTCACCAGCACCCACACGAACCGCACCTATTGCGCCAGGGGCCACCTGGCCCGGGGCCCTGGGCCCCCAGGCTAAGCCCCATCAATTCCATCGAGGACCCGCTGCCGCAAAATTTCCCAGGAACGCCAGTCTAATGCCACAACAGCCACTAGATCGCGTCTCGTCGTGCGGGAACGCATTCCAGACTCCTTTCGTGCACTGCTCCAAAGGGGTGGCAATGCCCAGTGGATGGATGCCCAGAGAGTGGATGCCCGCCCATCCTCTGCAGACAGGCGCTGCCAGGCCCCCTGAAGGCCGGGGAGCAGGGCAGACCTTTGGATCGGGGAATTGGGGGTCCACCCAGACCAAAAAGGAGGGCGGGAAAAAGGGGAAGGTCGCCCAGCAGAGACTGGACTGGACTCGGTGGACTGGACTGTGCACCCATGAGACCCTGGACAGCACAAGCTGGCACCGGCCTGTCCGTTCCTGGCGTTCCAGGGCAGCCAGCATGCAGCATCGCATCGCAGGGCGGCGGAATGCAACAGTGTTGCGCCGACGCGTTGTCGTGCCCGGCATTGCCCAAAAGGGGCGGGACCCTGTTTTTCTCTTTCCTCTTCTTCTGTTCCTGTGAAGCGGACTCCATCTCGCTTCCCTGCCTTTCTTGATTCTGTCACCGCCTGCCTTGCTCTGCACTCTCTTCAGCTTCATGCTCCCTATCCGTGGGCTGGGCAAGAGAGAGGAAATTTCCTTTTTGTTCCTTTGCCGGCTCCTGTCCAGCTCTGGCTTTTGTTCCGGGCCGCAAAAAGTCTCGTTCCGCCCCTTGGGACCTTCCCGTCCAGTCTGCTGCCGTTATCTGTCCGGGACCCCTTGAAGGCCCCATCTCGGTTGTGTGTTGCACTGCTCTCCTTCTCCAGCCAAACGCCCCCTGCCAGAGCCCTCTTTTGGCCTCGCCCCCCCTGCGCGGCTCCAAGGAACTACGCACCGCTTCGATTGATATGAACCACCACCGCTCCGTTCCGCTCACCGAGTAGCTGGTCGAGCGGCCCTTTTTCTTCTCTTCTTCCCCTCGTCTTCCACGAGTCTTCTGCCGGCGCTGCAGATCTGCTACGTCCGCAACTCTGTGCTCCTGTTCCTCTTCGCCACTACAAGCCAAGGGGTCCAAGGCGAGCAAAGAGAAGCGTGCCTTGCATCGCCGCGCCTGTGCAAGGGAGACGCCTGCATTCCCGACACACACGCGCCGCCAACCCACGATACGATCCTGCTCAGCAGCCTCGAGTGAGCCGCCCCTCCTGGGAGGACTCGATCGAACTCGGGCGCCTAGCCCGGTGAGGGATCTCGACGACAACAGGCCGCTTTATAGCAGCATCGCCCCGTTCCACCAGCGGAACAGCAACTTCATGCCAACACGCCCAGACGCATACATAACCTCATAACCACACCACAACATGTCTGCACTAACAGAGCCCATGCCCCTGCCATCGCCGCCCGCGACACTGTCCCGGTACCGCAGTCTTCGGGGCAAGAGCGTCTCGGAATCGCGCAAGGTAGTCGAGGCCATTGTACCCGGGAGCCCCAAGGCCGCCTCGGAGTTTGGTGACAGCCCCAAGTCTTCAGGGTCGAGGTTTAGGAGGAGAGCAAAGACGCTCACTAGTGGCGACTCGGAGAGCGCCAGCAGCACCCCCACCGCCGCACCTCCAGTCCCCATGCTGCCACCGTCGCCGATATCGCCTGGACCGCTTGTCTCGCCCACGGCAACAACACCATCCAGGAAAGCCAAGGGAACCCTGAGGGCGCCCCCACCTCTCGTGCTTACCGACAGCAACGGCGCCATAAGCCACAATGGGCTCAACGAGTCGGGGTCCGAGGCCGACATCCAGGGCATGAACTTCCCGGCAGTTCCTGTGGCGATGGCCATAACCGCCGATACCGCCGTCGGCCCAGATAGCTGCTGCGGCACGCCCGTTGACGACGGCAGGAGGCGGTTACAGGACAGGCTGGGCGACGATATAGCCGAGATGGAGGAGAGCATACGGCAGGCCAGGGCGGACGCTATCATCAACAGCCACATCTACAACGACCACAGCGACGCTGCCTCGCTCAAGTCCTCGGCGGAATCTTTCAAGTTTAGCAACAATGGGCGCCGGCCCTCGCCGCTGCAGCTGAAGCCGCGCAGTCCTGTGCTGGAGAAGTTCAACTTCCTCGGCTGGGGCCGCAAGTCCAGCGCCGCTTCGCTTTCGCCGTCCCCGTCCACGGCGACATCCTTCGACTTTAGCAGGTCCGGGACTATGGACCCCCAACCGTCGCCACTGGCCAAGTCTTTCCTGGACAAGATTGGACAGCCACCGCCGTCGCCTGTTCCCTCAACAGCGAGCAATGGTGGAGAGAGGGTAAGTTGTCAGCTGAGTTTGACACATAACACGGTAGCGCTTGCGTTTTTAGAAGCTAATCAGTCTCTCTGCCGTCAATAGTGCGTGCAAGTCCGTTGCCGCGGGGTATCGATGAATGTCGACGTGACACTCGACACTAGCACAGTCGATATCCTTTTCGCATGCTCTGATGGGTTACCGTTGCCACAGTCCATCAACACTGCCACAGCCGTTGTCGTCGAGTCGTACACACATCTTGGACTGGAGCGACGACTCAGGCGATACGAACGCGTACGAGACGTGCTCAACTCGTGGGATCGGGACACGCAGAACCATCTGTTTGTGGACACATCCTCTGATGATCTCGGCCAGGCGGCGCAGCAGCACAAGGATCTGGACATCTCGTCTGTGTCTTCACCCGCATGCACGCCTCTGCAGCTTCAGCAGCCTCCCCAGGGCTTCGTCCTGCAGCTCCACCACTCACAGCGCCCCGGCAAGTGGAACAAGCGATTTATCACCCTCCTCGAGAACGGCCAGATGTTCGCCTCCAAGAAGGCCGACGTCGCCCTCGCAGTCAGTACACCCACATCGGCCACGGGCGGATCGCCATGGTCCCCGTCCGCCGCTGGGTCACCCAGGGGCCTGCCCACTGTGACGGCAGCCGCCGCAGCGGGTGCCGCGGCGATTTGCCACCTGAGCGACTTTGACATCTACACCCCGACCGAGGCGCAGTGCAAAAAGACGCTCAAGGCGCCCAAGAAGTTCTGCTACGCTATCAAGTCTCAGCAGCGCACCACTGTCTTTGCCGGGTCGCCCGCGGCCGAGAACTTTGTGCACTTCTTCTGCACCGAGGACGCCGACGTGGCGCGCCAGTTCCACACCCGCGTGCACGCCTGGAGGTCCTGGTACCTGGTGCACCGCCGGGGCGTGGCTGGGTCCGCGGCCACCTCGCGGCGCAACAGCGGCAACGACGACGACATGAAGCCGCCGCCGAAGCTCGAGGACAAGCGGCCGGGCACCTCGGGCAGCATGAGCGGCGCGCCGCAGATCCTCGCCGTCAAGCACAAGCCCAAGAAGTCGGTCAGCCACATCAAGTTCGAGGGCAGCCGCCACAAGATCCGCGTCAGCGTCGACGAGGCGCCCTACAGCATCGGCGAGTTCCAGCCGCTGCTCGACCTCAACCGCTTCGACAAGCCCATCGACGAGTTCGGCAAAGACTGGATCGAGCGCCAGAGCGCGCTGCCGCCCAACGCCGCCGAGACGGTCGCCGCGCTGGTCAAGAGCGCCACCGGCCCCGGCACCCCCAAGACGGAAGGCGAGTTCGCTGAGGGCGGCCTGCTGGGCGCATCGTACGACGAGCGCAAGAGCCGCAAGGGAAGCGCCGCCGGCAACGAGCCGTCCACTCCCGTAGAGGGCCCCTTCACCGAGGGCGCGACTCTCGTCAACGGCGGCCTGTCGCCCAATGGCGAGGAGGCCAAGGATGGCGAGGACAAGGCCGAGACTGAGGAGCCGGCCGAGCCCAAGTCGCCGCCAAAGCCCGAACCCAGGTCGTGGTTCCCTTCGGCCTCGGAGCACTCGGCCAAGAGGCGCGCCCAGAGCATCTCGGAGGCGGCCGCACGACCCTCGACCTCGGCGGGAGAGTCGTCGTCCCGCCCGGACCCCCCGCTGCCCTTCCCCTTCGGCCCCGGCGGGCCCCTCGCCCAGCAGGCGCGCCCGCAGCACCTGCACCCCGGTGGCCCCGGCAGCCGCGGCCGCCCGCCGCCGCGTCTCCCTGGCCAG